GCATTATTGCATTATTGCCAGGTATGTTTACACATACGAGGAATTTGTTTTAGTGACAGAAGCTCCACAGTGCAACAGAAACAAGACAGGAATTATAAATTTTTAATCATACAAATAATATATATTTTTTTTCTCTCTCTTCTCATCTATACATTAATGCTGTGTTTTGGGAGATATTAAGTATTTTTCTACCTGTTTACCACAAAATTCCTCAACTACACCATTAGCTTGCATGTTAAATATTACATTTCTTTGAAAAATCACTTAAATTATTATTTAAATTTAATTTAAGTTGTCTCTGGATATTGATCTAGGTGTTAGGTGTATAATTCTGCCATCTGCTGGTCAGAGAAAACTTGTATAAATCACAGTTTTTGAAAGAATAGTTTAATGACCATATACAGTATATCCAGCAGAGGCCCATAGAGATCCATTAATTTTTCTGGAAGTGGCAACAACTCTAACAACTTTTCTGATATATATTTTGTAAATATATATTGAAACACTATAAAATGCATAAAAAACTGTATTTTTCTCAAAGGTTAGAATTTGTTTTTGTTGTTTGAGGTATTATTTTGCAATAATGCCACATAAATTTGCAGAAATGCCACACAAGTTGTGACTAAAACTTGATTGGATGCACATATTTTTTTCAATCTAAAAAGTAAAATCAAAACAATTTTATTTTACTTAAATGTAAATAAAACCAAAAAAAAAAAAACTGCAATAAGCAGATCTGAATGGTGTGTGTGTGTGTGTGTGTGTGTGTTTGTAAGTACGTGAGTGAGTATGCCCGTTCCACATTGTATTTGTGCTCTAGTACCTTCATTTCTGTGTGGAAAATTTCAGATTTATTGATTTTTTTTTTTTGACAAATGAAAGAAATATATATAGAGAGATTTTTTCGCATTCATTTTCAATTGTGGTCATACGAACCCCAAAGACCAGATTTGTAAAGAAAAAATAAAAATGTTTACATACCTTCAAAACTACCGAATCAAGCCTGTGTGTTTTTATTTATTTATTTTTTAATGTGAATATAGATAGAAAATGTTGAAAGTCACAAAATCTTATTCCACTGAGATGAAGGGAACCATTTTTGTCAAACTGACCCCAGGGACCGATTGAGGGTTAAAATCTCTACTACAAAAAGAGAGAAATTGGTGTTCATGTAAAGGTTTTAGCTCACAGAGTTACACTTATGAGTCAGATGTGCAATTATTACTTTTACCCACATTTTACATTGTGTATTTGTGTTCTAGTGAGTATATCGTTGGTGTGTTGGTTATTGTTATTTCATGGAAGGGACTTATGTTGTTGTCTTTCTGCATTTTTTTCTCAGAATTATCATGGAATTATGGACAGGTATTTTCATTATCAGGATTTCCATTTTTCTTTTTAGAATTTTCATGAGCATTAATTTTCAAACCTGATTCTGTGATGTGTGTGTGTTTGTTTAGGACTGACTACACACTGCCAGATCAGGAGCTGAGTTCAGAAACTCTTATCGATGTTCCCAAACATCTGGGGAACTTGAAGTACCAAGTGTGGGAGAAGATGAAGGACATCTGCTCTTACTGTGAGAACTAGACCTGTAAAAGTTAAAGGGATAGTTCACCCAAAAATTATAATTGTATCATTAATTACTCACCCTCATGTTGTTCCAAACCCGTAAGACCTTCATTTATCATCCGAAGATGAACAAAGGTCTTACAGGTTTGGAACGACATGAGGGTGAGTAATTAATGACTGAATTTTCATTTTTGGGTGAACTATCCCTTTAATTCATGTAAGAACTACTATGTTTATTAATATCCGCATAAATGGCTTTTCCCTGTTCCCTTTAGACCCTGTGATCCTGAATCCAAACGCTGCTCCACCAGACATCTCTGTGTCAGATGACCTGACCTCTGTGACCTCATGTGTTCATCAGCAGGACGAGCCCAACCCTCTTCATCTGCACAGGAACCGTATGGTGCTGGGCAGTGTGGGATACGCTGATGGTGTTCACGCGTGGGACATTGAGGTGGGAGACAGTCACCACTGGAGTCTTGGAGTGTGTTTTGGATTGGAGGGAAAACCTACTACACAACCTTTGACCCCTGAAAACAGCTTCTGGGGTCTCAGACGCGACGGAGACTCGTATGAATTGATGACCGCTGGGATGTCGAGATTAAATACCAGTTTACATCCAGTGGTAGTGAGAGTAAAGCTTGTGTATTGTTATGAGTATCTTCAAGACACGATGCAGCTGAAACGCTGGAGGAAGGTGAGCTTTTCTGATGCTAGCAGCGATTCATTAATTGCAGAATTTGCTAGAGTGCCACTGGAGAAGAAACTCTTTCCCTTTGTGATCCCAGAAGATCAGGCCGTCCCGCTGCGTTTCGTCCCAGCTAACGTTACTCTAACTGTTGAACAGAAAACATCATTGCTGGAGAGAAATCGAGTCTCTTTTCTCTTTGTCTGTTTTATTTCTTTCATGTTTATATTGGTGATTCTGTTAGGAAAGAGTGACCGACAGGGCAGGTGAAAAGTAAATGTCTGTTTAATTACCGTAATGGTCTGTTATAATGGTTCAGTCAGCTAAAGCAGACTTCTGAGCAAAACTAAACGATCTAGCATCACTGCACTATAATGTGAATATAATGGAGCCCACGTCCATGATGATAATAATGCACAGCGCACACTTGACAGTTTCTGTTCAACAGTTTCTTGTAATTTTTGTGAAAGACAGTTTTACAGCACTGGTTTATTATTGTAGTAGAATGATTTCAGAAATGTATCAATCCTTTATCATCCTCTCAATATCCTGTAGCAGCACAGTATTGTTGTGATGTATCATGTGACTCATCTTTGCTTCTAGTAGCGCCAGTATCCTGGTTTATGTGTGTAAATATCATGTTTGACCAGGTTTTCTGTCTCCAGTCTGTTTCCATTCGGTCTGCCTTTTGCCAATAGAATGGTGTGCATTTTAACATCATTTCCACAAAGGATGCAAGTTACAGTGAAATGAAAGAACAGGTAATAACGTAATGAGAGCACACTGGGCTTATAAGCTTTGACAATGACAGTAACATCAATCAAGAAAAAACAAATCAAATCACTGTTGATTTTTCTGAGTCAGAGATGCAGTTGTAGCCTAAACAGTCTATTTGAGTATTTAACATTTTAAATGGTCTACATGCCTGCAGTGGACAGATGCCATGTTTTTGCCTTAGATAACGATTCTAAGATTTGCTTAGAGCTTTTTGAATTCAACTCTCTTTATTCTCCTCATCTGTTTGATTATATTAATTATATTAATAAATATTACATATTAATAAATTGTAAATAGTGTCATGTTTGTGATTTTTATCCGCTAATTAGGACAGGATCTAAACACAAGAGAGAGTAATTAGTAAATGAAGGCTTCTGATAGGAACAACAGCACCGATTTGTTCGAGCCTGCAGTTGAACTTGGCTGCTAAATCTATCTCTATACAGTAATATCAGGTTGAGTATCCTATTCAAGTGAGTCAGTGTCTTTCATGTTTAATTCTTCTACAAATTAAGATGCGGAAGGAAGAGCAAGGCAAAAGACAAATGCATGAGTAGCAAATTAGAAAAGCTTTAATGATTACATTTTTGAAGTATCAAAGATTTATAAAAGTTCTTATAAAAAGCAAACTGGAGTAAAAACGACTGCACATTCTCACTATTTTTTGGATTTGGATTTTAAACTGTAAAGTGTAAGTCGTTTTACATTTTTTTTAAAAAGTACGTGTTCTTGTTGCCTTAAGGTTTTAAGATTAGTCAACTTGAAATGTGAAGTTGTACTAGGCCTATGTGATAACTTGGATATTTAAGTTGAGTAAACTTAAAGGCAGCAAGAACACTTTTTCAGAGATTAAGTCAAAAAAGTAAAATTTATGATTATATACATATATATACGTATATATATATATATATATATATATATATATGTGTGTGTGTATAAATGAATGAATACAATGTAAAAGGTTACAATTGCAACACAGGTACAAAAGACCAATTTTGATTTAACATGTACATCAGAGCCCAGGGAACAGAATGAACAGACTGTGTTTTTTGTATTTGCTGATGATGTTTCGTCAGCCATCTGAGTGGTTTCATCAGCTCTCTATGACAGTTCCTGCCTCAATGTGTGGATCAACATTAAGCTAACATTTTTAACAAAACGACAACAAGTTCAGTTATTATTAACTATTTCTACCATACATTCAAATATGAGCAAAATTAACAGGTGTGAGCTACCAATCAAAATCAGTTTTTGAGGACTCACCAGGAATGGTGGACATAAAGCAGACAAAGTCATTCTTCCAGTGAACCCAGGAGTCTGGCCTGGGCACTTGGTCAGGAACTTCCACACCTCCTGGGTGATCTGAGTGACAGAGATATGGTTAACAATATGGAAGACAATAGTACTGTATATACAAGCTGAGAAATGAAAATGAGAAATAACAATATCATAACCACTGAGTTTCATCAGTCATGCTGTACCTCCTCTGCAGGCGTTAATGAGAATAACCTTCGGTTTATCAATCAGAGCGGGACAATTCACTGAGTTCAGATGGGATGATTGTTTTGCTGGCCATGTGTTTGTGTTTTTGTTGTGTGTGAGCACATGGCTTTTGTCTTGTTTGGTTTCTTGTGCCATGTGCTCTCATGTCAATTGTCTAACCCCACCCATCTTGTTACCTGATTATTGGTTAATTTGCCCCACCTGTGTTTTCCTCATTACCCTCCTCATTTGCTCCCTATCTATTCTCCTTGTGTTTACAGTCCTGTGCGAGTCTGTTGTGTCCTGCCTTCCCAATTGGTTTCCCCTATGGGTTAGTTTCGGCTCGGCTTGGCTTGTTTTGTTTTGTTATTAATAAAAGCCCTAATTCCTCCTGCGATTGAGTCCTCCCTTCATTCCCAACTCATGCAAACACCGGTAGCAGCGGCAGTAGAATTTATCCAGTTAAGAGTTGTTCTACCACTGAAATAATTTTAGAGACATTATTTTAAGGTAAAAAAATGACAGTGTTGCTTTAACAAACAAAATGTTTCCAGTGTGGTTAAAACTTACCACCGTGTTTCACTGAAAAATTGATTCACGTGACATGCATTTTTCTGATTATCTTGTATCTTTGTGGTGGATTTTAATGATATAGATTGTTAAACTTTTTTTTTTTTTTACCTGATGTGCATATAACTTTCTTAGACGACATTTCCCCTAATGGCAAAGAATGCAGTCAATCCTGTGCATTCAGTCATTGTATGGAGACGAAGAGCCAACGGCAAAACTTTTGTAAGACTTGAAGTCAAATTATAATTACAACTGTTTTTCCACTGAAATAATATTACAAGTAATTTGTACTTTAAACAACCACCTCCCGGCAGGAATCAAGTAAAATTATTCACTCAATTTATTTATCTTCGTTCTTCTCTGAAGTGAATACAGGCTTCTGTGAATTTCTCTACAAAGCTGAGTTTATGTGCCGAACATACAGCATGATCAAAGCAAAAATATTGCCTCCTCCTTAAAAAAAAATACACTAACATCGTACACGCATTCAGCGCTATTATTTCCTGTAGTGTTGCTTTATGGTTGAAATTTAATTTATAATTAAAATCAAGACCTTTGCGATGCTGACACAGGAAACACACTTTTTAAGGTGCACAATCTCCACCTCCAACATTGCCAAAAGACAATGAACACAATTCTGCACAAAATATGACAGTATAAGTTATCAGAACTTAAATAAATATACACTATACACTGTATCTAATTTGCATATTAATGTGTTCTTGGATTAACATTTAATGAAAAAAATAAGTGTAATAATTGGCAACATTTTAATAATAATAATATCTAATATTTCATAGGAATATTGATGTTTAATTTATTTCCATATTCACTTGTTGTGTCTCCCAAAATGCCTGATAAACATGATTTAAGTCCTGATGTCCTCTACAGTGGACATG